TGCTCAGCCCCTGCACCCCAAACTTAACAACCCCACTACTCTTTCAAATTAAAAAATCTTAAAAAACAAACAAAAAAAAACAAACAGGAATCCCCAGGGTTCATAATCCTGTCTGTTACACCTGCTTCCTTCTCAACATGACTAAAAAGTTAGGACACATCTACCCCTGCCTCAGGGTCAACTGTTTGCTTTGGAGGCAGACCATTAAGTTAAGTGGCATCTCTTTCAAAGGCTGCCACTTTCATGACCTGGAATTGTCAAGCATAACAAAATGTTTCCAAGAGGATCAAAGTCAACCTCAAAGGCAGAAATTTTATTTTTAAACAAATTACAGAAAAACATTTGTTCAAAGTTGAATATTTACATGTTATTAAGAGGAAGCAACTGTTACAAACCTACCAGAACCAGCCATAAAAATCACTCATTCACTGAGTCTAAGCAGCTGTAAATGGCAGAGCCACAAAGACAAAGGTGACACGGGCCTTGCCCTTGAAATGACTGTAGCTCTAGATAGCAAGAGGCCTACAGACACATGACTATATCAGTGTGTACAAAGTGTCCTGAAGGACAGGAAAGACTACACCACTAATTTACTTGTGAGATTTAGATGAAAAGCAACTGAAGACCCTATCTTTCAGAACGTAAAAAGAAAATGAGAATGCATTTGAGAGGCAAAAACAGAAGCATAGTGGAAAAATTACAGAACTGTTTAGGCAGAGAGGACAACATCTGCAGAAAATGCAGGAGAGGTCGGAATGAATCCAGAGCGAGCGCCTAGGAGGAAGAGAAACTATGATGAAATGAGAGCACCCAGATACCACGTGGGACTCCCCCAAGGTTCAATCACCAAAGGTAGGCTGGAGTGTCTGGACTTTTTTCCAAAGCCAAAATAAAATCATTTATGTTTGTTCAAAATGTCTAGTGGAGGATACGGGTCCGATTTATTAACATGATGGTCCTAGGAACACACGGAGAGGAACAGGGCTGCAGGTAAGGTGATGTGCTGGGCTGTCTCCGCACTGTCTTGCAGGTGAGAAGGTGTGAGAATTCACTCAGAGCAGGAGCAGCCAGAATGCTGAGAAGGCACAGATCTGACATTGGAGACCCAGATTGGTATGCAGGTGGAGCAAAGTGGTAAAAAGGGCTATGCCATCACTTAGCTGGTGTGGTCAGAGAACACCAATGTCACTGACTTGGAGGAACAGGTCTAAATGCAGACACACTGCAGGAGGGCTAAGCATGCAAGGGGTGGAGCACTTAGGAAGGAAAGAGTGCCTTACCAGGGGAAACACCTGCGAGCTTAGGCGGTGTGGAGAACAGATAAGTGGTGATGACTCTATCTAAAGTTGGGTGAAACTATTATGTCCACCCCCAGAGCCGTGAACCAGGACCGTAACAGACTATGAAGCAATAAGGAAATGTGCTTAGACTGCTACCTTAATAAGACTGCAGGATATGCACAACAATGCGGGTGAGTCACAGAAACTTCATGCTGTGAGAAAGGCCAGCCACCACCAAGCTCCTGCCTCTTCAAGGGCCTTTCGGAAGATTATGGGGGCAGGCTTTGTGGTGTAGCATGCAAACCTGACACCTGTCACACTGACAACCAATATGGCTGCCAGTTCTTGCCCCAGCCGCTCCATGCATGATCCAACTTTCCAATGATGGTCTGGGAAAAGCAGAAGACAGGCCCAGGTGTTTGGGCCTCTGCCACTCACATGGAGAGTCTGATGAGGCTCCTGGCTTTGGACTGGCCATTGTGGTCATCTGGGGAGTGAAACCAGCAAATGGAAAGTCTTGCTCTCTTTCTGTAACCCCATCAAAATAAGTCTTTAAAAAATAGTTTGTGGAGAAATTGGAAGGGATTTTTTTGGTGGAAAAAATTTTAAGGCCTATGCATATTTTTTTTTCATAATATGCACTTTCCATGAACTTTTTGAAAACTGCCTGAATATTCTCATTGATAAAGAATTCTAGATGAGACAAAACCTGCGATGACAAAAACCAGATCCCACTTTCATGGGAAAGTGCATGGAAGAATGTCCTGGCATCACAGAAGTTACATGCTTTCATAAAGGTACAGGCTAGAACAGTGTGTTCACTTGCCAAAATCAATGAACTTATAAGCTTGCCACAATATGTAAATTGCACCTTAGTTAAAAAGGAAATGAAGAGTCCAAAGTTGTGGAAGACACATAAACTAAAACAAGGAATTATACAACTGTAAAAGGTTTCATCAGAGTGGCAGAGCTATGGGCTCATTCCTACTCACTTTTCACATGTTGCTCCTAAAAGGGATGCTAAAAGCTTATGCATTCTGAAATATCTCTGTCATTTGTAAAAATGGAAAGCATATGCTATTTTTTATTTATTTATTTTTTGCCTGCAGGAAGCTGGAAAACTCTCTGTGGTTCAAGACTTTACTATGAGATTACAGGCAACCCCAGACACAGCAAATACATCCATGGGAAGTCATCAGGGGATCACTGGACAAGGGGACCTCATGGTTTTGTCAAAGAAGCTGCCCAAGATTTTGATGAAGAGTTTTGACAATGCAAATGTGAGCCAGGGAAGGCAGCAGGCATGGCTCAGCTAGCAGAACCAACCGGGCAGGCTGCAGCCCAGCCAGGGCGTCCTTATCCAGCAGAGGACAAGTGTCAGGGGAGAAATGAGCCAATGGAGAAAGCAGTCAATGGCGGCTGCACTTGGAGGTGATTAGATTCTGAAGGTCAAAAGCACAGGCTCTACTTGGGCTTCGGTGTTTCCGGGTTGATGACTTGTCCCTAATTCTCAGCCATTTTTAGTTGGGGAATCTTGTCTTCACCAGGAAGGTAAAGAAAACTTACACCCTAGGAGGTGACATCATGATTGCCCATAGTTTGGGATGTTTTGATGATGCTGGTGGTGGCAGCTCCTCCAGCTACCTGCACTAGTACGACACTTGATACTCTGAGCTAGCTGCTTCACAGGGGCCCCATGTGTGATCCTCAGAGCCACCCGGGGGCAGACTGCTACTCCTGCTGCTACACAGAACAAAACTGAGATGGAAGACATGCAACATGATTTCCTGCAGGTCCCCGCTCTCCAGGGTCTGATGTCAGACACGGTGACAACCCCACGCTAACCGCTTCGTCTGACTGCCTCAAACTTTAAAACTAAATTTTACATGATGCTGTATAAGCCTGTCTTTTTCCATCCTGGCTCGTGCTAACGTGAACAGCCCAACTGGCGGTGGTGAGAGCATTCTTCCCAGATTATTTCATCTGAAGCATTGGAGCATTTCTCTTCTCGTCCCTGAACAACCAAACCACACTCCCTCTCCAAAATGCATTCCCCAACAGTCAGGTTCTGGGGGCTGGAGGGGTAAGGCCAGGCCTCATACACTCCTGGCATGCTGACAGCCTCAGATAAAGCACACCAGGACAGGTCCTCCTATCACAAATGGAAAGGTGAGAGTGGATACAGACTGCTACACTTTCCCCTGACACCCCATGTGACCAACTGGACGTGCCGGATGGCTGGGCCCAAACTGTGATCCCTTATTAGTGTTATCCACCTAAAGGTGACAAGAGGATCCCCCATTCACACCTGGTGAATGAGCACAGTGTTGCAGCCCCACTTGGGTTTGTCCTGCGTGAGGAGCTGAAATGTGAAACAGCAGGAAGGCTGTCTCCATCTCCAGGGGACCATAACGGACTCCGGGGCACAGAGAAGGATCTGTGTCCGGATCTGCCAGCTGCACACCCACTGCATTGCTGGAGGCATAGCACAATGCAAACCAAGTTAGTTCTCTGGGTCATCCAAAGGCCACAGGCAGTCAAGAGTCAGGGCATAAAGCTTTCAAGGGCTTCAAGAGCTGGACTCTTTCAGTTGTGGTTTCCTTGAACTGTCTGCCTAGATTTCACAAGTCTTTGGGTTTTTGTCTGCCTTCAAATTATTTGCCCATGAAGGGGTCTTCATTTCTATGACCTGGCATCTGGTCAGGGCATACCCTTTGGCTGGCCAGCCAGGGGTTTGGTCTCTGGGAGGCAAAAAGTAAAAAGTCCTGCCCTCTCGTTTACTCCCTGCCCTTTCTTTGCCCTTTGCCCTGGGCATGGAGCTCAGGTGCAGCAAAGCAAATAGGCAAGGTTGAAACACTCTAATTTTTGTTCAAAGAAAAAAGAGTAGTTTCTAGAAGGGGATGAACACAAATTAGTTTCCTGACTGGCACTTGTGCAAGGTTTACATGCACACCCACTTCCCACGTAGCCCCTCTGTGGGGACAGAAAACAGCGTCCAGTGAGGCAGGCAGCCTTGGACCAACAACCCCGCATATGGCTGAAGTCAATTCTCAGGCAGAGGAGCCCGGGTCAGATAGCGGAGCTGGGGACAGCCAGTTCCCGCCAACACAACAGTTGAGATAGAAAAGGCACTAGTGGCTCTGATCCAGAGACCTTGAACCCTCCCAAGGAGACATTCCAACTACACTGGCAGCACTGTTGGGGTGACGGCCACAGTCACGAGGGCCCGTGGGGATCTGGGCCCTTATCTGGCATCAGTCCCATCTGAACTTCATCATTAGCCTAGAAGATGTCTTTGGGCTGCATGGTCACCGCTCACAAAGCAGCCCTTGGAAGTGTCCCATAGTCACTGGTGGCAGACAGGAAGGACACTTTCTTAGCACTCTTCAGTAAGTAGTTCAGAAAAATACACACACATACATATATATATGATGCACATTTTTAACTGGAATTGAGGCCATTGACAAAAACCTTTCCATCCCTCTCATCGGGAAGAGTAATGCTTTCGTCATCAGGAGCTCTTGGCTGAGCTGAGATCAGGGCCAGGAATTCTGTGAACCTGAGGTCAAGCTGCCAAGGCTACAGTGAGTGTATGTGCCGGTACCATGGCGCGAGAGCCTGGGAGCTTGCAGCCGCCAGCCCTCACCTCCGGCTGCCCGAGGAACCAACCTTCAGTTCACCCACCCCGCCCCAAGAAACAGAACAACACAAAACGCTTACCGAGCTCTCCCCGGAGGTTCACGAGTTCTTGGGATAGGGTTTTGTGTTGTTTCAGGGCTTCCTCTCGCTGCGGAAAACACACATCAGGTTACTGCCTGTTTTCAACAGGGCTCCTTTCAGCCAGGTACACGTTTGTTATCAGCAGGAAAGCCAGACCCACAATGGAGAAGCCAAAACCTGAATCACACAGGCGAACTGCGTTGTTAAAACACACAGCCGTCCCTGGGTTGTTAAGGAAATTCATGTCTCAAAAAGTCTGGTCTCATGTCCCACTGAAAGTTCCATTGGAGGAAGGGAATAGCTCATTTAAAGATATTTACTCAAAGCCACTACTCCTGCACAGACCTTGCAGCCTGAGCACACTGCTCAGAAGACGGAATGCAGGCTCCCCCTCCTCCCAAGGCAATAAAGGCCTAATCAGTTAAATATTTAATGTTCTAAACATAGGCACTTAGACATGCACGCTTTGTCCCATATTTGCTCATAATAATGCTTGATTTTAAGGCCAATCCTTTACTTCTAAGGGAAAGACAAAAAGTTTGTTCCAACGTGGCAGCGGGGGGTGTGGGGCGGCGGTTGATCTTTAAAGACAAAAGTAAATGAATTCTATTCAACCACATGTTGTTTTCTAAGGATTGTTTTGGATCAGCCAGAATTGCAACAACATGTTAGAGCAGCAAGCTAAAGGAAATCAGGCAGCCGACTCAGAATCTGAAAAGCCAGGATCAACCTTGACATCAAGAATCATTTTCAAGGGAACCACAACTCACAGCAATCACCCACGTACACAGTCGTCCACTGACACGATCATCGGAGTCAGTTCCCTAAGAGATGGATTCACTAGCACCCAAAAGAGAGCGAAGGAAAAGCAGGATTTCAAAGCTGTTTGAAATGCTCTGGCCAGGATCCCCGGCTCCGATCCCCCAGCCCATCGTGATCCGAGTAGCCTGGAGATCATGAGACTCAGCCTTTGCGGGCATAAGTCGCTTGTCATTCCCGACGCCTCCTCCCCCCTCCCCCCCACTGATTCCAGACAACCTGAATATCCTTCCCGCAAAGCACTTAGAAGCAAATACTCATTACCCTGGTTGCTGCACATGGAGAATACAGGCACATTTTGCTGCCGGAGCAGCCCATTTTCCAGCTTCTGTCTCCAACTCCCCCCACCCCCTGCACCGTCCAAGAAGTGCACAGGTGGCTGCACCACCCACCAGTGGCTCTGTCGACATTCAAAGCTTTACCAGGAGGCGCGCCATTGGCCCTCGGGCAGCCGCCCTGCCCGTCCTGCAGGTTACCGTAAGCCTTAGACTCGGCTCTCCCTACAGAAGCTGAGACTGCAGCTTCTGCCTTTGGCACAGGCAGCCTGTGATTACTTAAAGCCACAGACCTTCATTTGTGAAAAATGAGAGCCAGACATTAGCCTGATCGATGGCCACTTACTTAAGTATCAGCTGGTATGGTGGGAGGAAAAACGGGACCCTCTCAGCATGGATGATGGCGTTATTTTTAGATTTGTGAGCCTTTTTACTCTGCTAATTGAGGTCAGTGGATGATCATGCTTACTAATAGAAAAGGGAAACTTGCTCTTTAAAACCCATAGACTAAATGAGGTTATGAACTAGGTGAAGGGCAGTGAGAGGGGGTGTGTGCTGTGAAATGAATGATATTTCCCTCCAAATTGAATTTGAATGCTTACAACACTACCCATCAGAGGTTTCGAAACTCTGAAGTGATGATGCGAGATTTGGTCAGGATCACATCAAGGGTCTTTAAAAAGTCTGTAGAAAAGATACATTATGAAAAAAAAAATGCACTGAATCTTAAAATGTGTTGCACCCGCAAAAAAGGGGGGACTTTTAAATTCCATTTTCCAGACACACTTTACAGAACCTTGTATATTTTACAACTTGCACTTTATACTTGCTTTACTAAGCCAACAAAGTTCATTCTAAATATTAGCACTGTTTTGTGGACTCTTAACCATGACTGGAATTCAAGAAATACTTTTTTTCCATGGAGTAGATTTTGGTCTCCATGTTATCCCTAAAAGCTTGGAATTTAAATTCATAGTCTCACCATGTTCTGAAATCATAATCAGTTTAAGTTTTAAAAATTAATGGGTGCACAAAAAACTTGGATAATTAGTTTTTTCAAGAAAGATGAGTTTTTGGGGGAAAATCAGCCTGTATAATGGGGAAAAAAGTACAAATATAGCATAATTTTCTTAATTTCATGAATGTAAGCTTTAGTTTGTTTAGTCATCTAGTTCAAGTAAGTATTAGTAGACTGCATTCCTAAAGTGACAAGGAAACCAGGAGATGATTCTTTAGACACCTACATTTGACACTGAAACCCAACAGTGAACTTGCTTAAAGTTCCCTTCCCAGGGCTGGCTCCATGGCACAGTAAGCTAAGCTTCTGTCTGCAGTGCCAGCATTTCATATAAGTACCAATTCATGTTCTGGTTACTTCACTTCCAATATAACTCCTTGCTAGTGTAACTGGGAGAGTAACAGGGGAGGGCCGAATAACTGGGCTCCTGGACCCATGTGGGAGATCCAGGAGAAGCTTCCGGCTTCAGGCAAGCCCAGCTCCAGCTGCTTAGGCCACTTAGGGAATGAACCAGCAGAAGGAAGGTCTGTCTCTCTCTCTTGCTGTTTCTCCTGATTTTCAAAGAAATAAAATCTTTTAATTTTTTTTTAAATAGGACAAATGTACCCTTTATAATAAGAGGGTTCTTCAAAAATGCCCAACACGTGCACATAGACACACACTAAGTGCGAGCTTCTGTCAACTGTCCCTGGTAGCCTGCCCTTCCAATACACTTAGCATTTACTTAGTGATGATCACCTAGACACTGATTCACTGATTCTTTTCATTCAGCTTACCCTGGCTCAACATTTCTATCCTAGAAGACACTCTTTATAGATATCACATTCATTTGTTCCTCTTTGCACTGTAACATGCAGAAAGCCTCACAATATGAAAGCACAAAGGTGGGATTCTGGATAGAAAGATGCATTAATGCTCATGCATTAAATATATGGAGTGCTCCAGGGAAATTGGATTCACCATAATTTAATTAGAAGTCCCTGGGACGAGGGCACTTACTGGCTGGCTGTCATCCCATCAGCCGCCTGGGTTTTCCTAGCTCCTGCAGAGCATCCTCAGGACAGGGAAGGAGCAGCACAGAGCCCTGTCAGTCGGCTCAGACGTGTGCACGCCTGCTCTCCTGCCCAACCACCCACGTGGGGGCATTTTTTTCAGTGTGAATGCTTTTGTTGTAGCTGTTGTTCTGAGACAATTTTACTTTCAGTAAATGCCTACTGGCATTTAACATTCACCTTTGTTTAGGTGCAACTTAGGATTACATTACACTTGCAAAAAAAAAAAGAAAGAAAGAAAACCAAAAAAATCTGGAGGACTCAGAAGGATGCATTGGAGGATGGGAGGCAGGGAGCTGGGTCCTCTTTGGACATCCACCTGTCGGCCTTTTGCGTAGGCTCAGGGACCACCACCACCGACACCGCTGTTCACTTCGGCTGTGTGGGTAGAGAACTGACTGTGGCATCACAAATCAAGAGTTAGAACAAACTGAGACTGACATAGGCATGTCCCTAAACAGCAAGTGTGGAGTCGATGTCTACATGCTTCAGACATTCACTGGATCTTCTGCTATGTAATGAAAGAGGTGACCAAAGTGGAAAAGCTGCAGCTATTACATACACTTGCAGCAAAAGGGTAAGTGATAAATCCAGAATCCCTTATATAGTCATATTTCCCCTATAATCTAATCATTCAAAACCATTTGGAAAATTTTGACAAGAAAGATACATTCATGGGCCTGGTGTGGTAGCTTAGTGCCTAAAATCCTCACCTTGCATCTACCAGGATCCTATATGGGCACATGTTCATGTCTTGGCTGCTCTACTTCCCATCTAGCAACCTGCTTGTGGCCTGGGGAAACAGTTGAGGATGGCTCAAAGTCCTGGGACCCTGAATCCACATGGGAGATCCAGAGGAGGCTCCTGGCTCCTGGCTCCTGGCTTTAGGTGGGCTCAGCTCTGTCCTCACTTGGTGAGTGAACCAATGGATGGAAGATCTTTTTATGTAAAAATCTGCATTTCCAATAAAAATAAAGAAATGTTAAAAAATACGCACTCATGCGTGTGCATATCTATGTGTGTGTGTGTGTGTATATATATAATAATGTATGTATTCAGGGCTGACATTAAGGCACAGTGGGTTAAACAGCTGCCTGCAATGCCAGCATCTCATATGAGCACCGGTCTGGATCCTGACTACTTGATTTTTTTTTAAAGATTTATTTATTTTTATTGGAAAGTCAGATATACAGAGAAGAGGGGAGAGAGAGAAAGAGGGAGAGAGAGAGGAAGATCATCTGATGATTCACTCCAAGTGACCACAATGGCCAGTGCTACATCAATCCAAAGCCAGGAACCTGTAGCCTCCTCTGGGTCTCCCATGCAGGTACAGGGTCCCAAGGCTTTGGGCCACCCTTGACTGCTTTCCCAGGCCACAAGCAGGGAGCTGGATTGGGAAGAGGAGCTGCCAGGATTAGATCCAGCACCCATATTGGATCCTGGCACGTTCAAGGTGAAGACTTTAGCTGCTAGGCAGTATACTGTGCTGGGTCCAACTTTTCCACTTTTGAACCAAGTCCCTGTTAATGTGCCTACAAAAACAGATCATGGGCCCGGTGCGATAGCCTGGTGGTTAAAGTCCTCACCTTGCATGCCCGGGATCCCATATGGGCGCCAGTTCTAATCCCGACAGCCCTGCTTCCCATCCAGCTCCCTGCTTGTGGCCTGGGAAAGCAGTCAAAGACGGCCCAAAGCCTTGGGACTCTGCACCCACGTGGGAAACCCAGAACTCCTGGCTCCTGACTTTGGATTGGCTCAGCTCCAGCCGTTGCAACCACTTGGGGAGTGAACCATTGGACGGAAGATCTTCCTCTCTGTCTCGCCTCCTCTCTGTATATCCACCTTTCCAATAAAAATTTAAAAATCTTAAAAAAAAAAAAAAAAAGCAGATCATGGTTCGAGTGCTTGGACTCTTGTATCCATGTGGGAGACCTGGACGAAATTCTTCGTTTCTTGCTTTGATCTAGCCCAGCCCTGACCGAAACAGGCATTCAGAGATTGAACTAGTGGATGGAAGATCTCTCCCTCTTTCTGTAATTCTGCATTCCCAACAATAAATCTCACACACACAACATGCAATGTGTCTGTGAATACACATACTGTTATAACACCTATGGGAATCCTAAAGAGTTAAAGGTATTTAATGCTTCACTCTTCCCCTGGTTACATCTTTCCTTTCCAACTGTTTCACATTAGTATCCTGTACACATTAGGCAATCACTAAATATTTGCTGATTATAAAATAGAGACAGGAAGAACAAAGAACATTGACACAAGGCTTTATGTTCATTTTATACGGGGAGTCCACCTTCTCCAGTCACTTGTCCCTGCAGGTGTGCTGCGGTGGCATCGGAAGAACCCGCTGCAGATCCTGCTCTCACGGAGCCCCCTAACCTAAGGAGCTAAGTGGACACCTACAATACAGAGAAGAGAATGAAAGTATCGGAGTAATCACCCCGGGAATCAGAAGGTGGACAGAACTTGGAGCTGGAAGGCTCAGGAAAGTCTTCATTAAAGAGGGAGTTTTTGAGCTCTAGTCAGTGGGCCGCAATTACATATGTATTAGGATCTAAATTTAGGTATAAGGCAACTTTCACGTGCAGTGACAATATCCCTGAAATTCACTCTGGGTTTGCCATGATGTGGACTAACACACCAACTCTTAGTACATCCAACTTGATGATTTTTTTTCTGCTAGTGTTGGATCTGCATCTTCTGCACTGAGTACCTGTCACAGCATTTGGCTTAAGTGGAGGGGTCAGGTGCTACAGGGGGAAGTTGGGCAGGGGACTGCATGTAGCAAGCAATGCTTGTGCCTCAGGAGCACTTAGGAGAGTAATGGACACTGCATGAAGAAGAGACCTCAGGCTTTCATCAGATGCCGTTTCTGGGTCTCTGCTCTTGAGGGGCACAGGAAGGCCGACAGCCTTAGTTTGCCTTTTTCCTTGGATGGTTGTGCAGGGCAGCGATGCGATGCTGTACTCAGACATCTGATCAGACATCGTAGAGGGACGGTCACAGTATCTGAACAAAGAATAAAAGCTATAGGAGGTTCACGGGAAACCGAGTTCACAGTGTCCTGGGCTTAAGTCCTGGTCCTGCACTTGCTAGCTGGCTAATGGTGGCCAAGTCACTTAGTAACAGGCTGCTTCAATGTTTGCATTGGTGAACTCCAATTCACTGTGGTTTTGGTGAGGATTTACTGGGATAAATAAGAATTCCTGGTATTTAATCAACAACAAATTCTTCTCCTCCATCTCGCAAACATACAAGTGAACACCTGGGACCCAGAGAAACACTACGAAGAGCAGTTGGCGATGATTCAGAGACCCTGATGATTCCAGTTACAAACCATTGCAAAAATGAACACGAGACAACGCATCTACTGCTGGAGACCAGAGGAGTTCTGGGCTTTTACATTTTTTCCAGAGCTGGAATCTTTGAAACTCAATTCTAAACAAGAAAATTCATGTATGTTTCCAACATACCTTTTGCTCCTAGCCTGAAGATGATTTAAGCAATAATTTTTAGTATGTTTGCACATGCAACAAATTTACACGTGTGGTCTTTCCCACTGCACCCTCATGCTCATGCTGAAGAGGTTTTGGCTTTTGGAACATTTCAGATGCTGCATTTTTAGGCTACGGATACTCAATTCATAATGTAAGTTGTGAATGTAAACTTCAATTTCCCAGTAGCCATATGTTTAAAAGCTTAAAAAAGAACTCTAGGGGCCCAGCACATTGGCCTAGTGGCTAAAAGTCCTTGCCTTGAACAGGCCAAGATCCCATATGGGCACCAGTTCTAATCCTGGCAGCCCCACTTCCCATCCAGCTCCCTGCTTCCCAATCCAGCTCCCTGCTTATGGCCTGGGAAAGCGGTTGAGAACGGCCCAAAACCTTGGGACCCTGCACCCGTGTGGGAGACCTGGAGGAGGCTACAGGTTCCTGGCTTTGGATCGGTGTAGCACTGGCCATTGTGGTCACTTGGGGAGTGAATCATCAGACGGAAGATATTTCTCTGTCTCTCCTCTCTTTCTCCCCTTCTCTCTCTCTCTCTCTTATATATATATAAGATATATATAAGATATATATATATATAAGATATATATATAAGATATATATAAGATATATATATAAGATATATATAAGATATATATATAAGATATATATAAGATATATATATAAGATATATATAAGATATAAGATATATATATATAAGATATATATATATATATATATCTGACTTTGCAATAAAAATCTTTAAAAAAAAACAATATACTTAATGAAAATATTGAGACATTTTATACTTCTCTTTGATTCTAAGTTTTTCAGATTCAAGTGTTATACACTTGCCATACACCTGAATTCAGCCTGATTGCATTTGTGTTTGCACAAGGGCCATAAACCGGTGGCTACTGTACTAGACAGTGCAGCTGTAGACAGCGGAAACCAACAGAAGACTGAATCAGCAGCTGCAAAGTCTTGGTAAAAACAGAGCTGTTAGCAAGGCATGGGAGGGATACAGAGAACAGAAAGTAAACCTACAGCAGCTTAAGAAGCAGCTTTAGCAATCTAGTGGGCATGTATCCAGGGTCTGAAAGAAGATGATACTAGTAGGGATGGCAGAGACAGGCTGGAAGGGAGAGACCCTGGGGCTAAGGGTGCATGGGGCTCTGTGATTCCAGGGGGAAAGGAACATCACTAAAGATGGGGCCTTGAGTCTGGAGACAATAAAACAGGAGTTGATCAATCTCTAATCAGAAAACCTAACTGTTCACCACATTAATATATTACATGGTTTCTAATTTAGCTTACATGCTTCCATAAACCAACTCTAGAGCTTCTTTTTCACCTATTGAAGAGAAACAGTACCCAACAACTTACTCATTTTACCCTCCAATTTCCATTCACTCTCCGTGACACTGACACACACACCCCATCCATCACACATGGACAATCTCCAGTCTGTTAGTCCCCCAAAGTCACAGACCCAAGACTTGGTTACCCATGGGGGGAGGGGGAGGGGAAATCAAGTGCCTAAAAAACGGTGTCATATAATGCAATGTAATAATAATAATAATAAAGACTTGGTTACCTCTGTCTGCCCTGCCTAAACAGGCAGCTGTGGTGCAGTGGCCTCAGTATGAAGTCATACATTTGCTGAATTGAACTACAGAACAAGGTTTTCCTCTCTCCAGATGCCATGTATGCTATCTTTTAAACTGCACTTTAACAACTATCAAGAGGAAGATATTTAACCTAATACTTATGACAACCCCCATCCTCCCAGAGCCTGGGTTTAAATCCTGGCCAGGGCTTTGACTTCAGCCCTCCGGCCGCAGACCGTGGGAGGCAGGGGCCATGGCTTACATAACTGGATTCCTGTCCGCCATGCGGGAGAGCAGGACTGTGCTCCCTGCTCCCAGCTTCAGCCCCTGCCCAGCCTGGGCTGTTCAGGACATCTGGGGAGTAAATCAATGACTGGGAGCTCGGTCTCACAAATAAAGTAAAAAATAAAATCGGAGGCAATCCAGTTATAGTCTCATAGCAGATTTCCCAAGACAACACAGTTTGTCACTACGTCAGTGACATATGCTCATGAACACTTATTTTTCTCAATGAATTTTAACTAGTTCTTGAATTAACATCCCTGGGAACTACCAGGGAAAGCTGAGGAAACCACCAGATTGTGTTTTGGTTTTGTTGCGCCAATGACAACTTGAGGAATGAATGCAAATTCTGAATCATCTCCAGAGAACATTCTGGAGTTAGCATTGAGGTGTCCGATGAGTCATAAATACAATCAACCTCATTTTTCAAAGTCCTAAATTGAATGTTACACGGACAGCAACATATACTTAGATAAAAATTCAGGTGGAAAAAATATGTTAATGCAAACATAGGTTTGGAAGTTTAGAGAAGCACAATAGCCAATTATCTTTTTGGTGCTGGCATCCAATCAAGAGACGCAGGGGAGAAAAGGAAGTAGAGCTGTCCCTAAGGGTGCAGGACGGCAGGACACCTGCAAACACCAAGATCTGAGGACGCTGCAGGCTCTCACATGCAATGACATATGATTACATGCAACACCTGGTATAATATGAATTCTATGTCAACAGTTGCTGTACTGAGTTCAGAGAATGACAAAACTGCCTACAGGTGCAGTTCTCCCCCACCACCCAAGTTCACTGTATTCATTTGAGAGCCAGAGAGAAGAGGAATAGAGACAAGCAGGCAAAAAGAACTCCTGATTACTGGTTCATCGCCCCAAGTGCCCCTAACAGTCTGCAAGCCGGGAGCTATGGGATCAATCCTGGTTTCCCATGCAGAGGGCAGACTCCGATTTCCTGAGTCATCGTAGCTGCTTCCCAGGGTCCGCGTTAACAGGAACGTGGGATCAGGGAGCCGGAGTCAGAGTCAGGCATAAAATGCACACGCTCTCATATGGGACACAGGCCATTTTCGTGGCTAAATGCCCACTCTTCAGAACTTTCCCATCCGTGGTAAGCTGATTCCTCAGTTCTAACACCTCCCCACATAGTAACACTAGCTTCATGAAGTAAATGTTTCTAGCGACCAACTCCAGTATAGAGTTGACAAATGTTAACTGGATGAATATACCTGATCTTCTCAATGATTTGAAAATCTTGACAAGACAACAGTGGAGCCCTGTCCCACCCCTCCTGCCAGGTCTCCCTACCCCTCAACTATGCAAGAGATAATGAGAAAGTGCAGGGCCTTACCTCAGACAGGAAGTGCTGGATCACAACCGTCAGGGCTTCCAACTTGACATTGCCTCGGGACAGAAGCTGCCTGAGCTGCAGGATCAATCCACTTTGGTTTTCGCATTTTGTTTTATATTGTGCCAATTCGAGTGTTCTTTCAGAGGAAAGCACATCTGGAGATGTCTGTGTCTGGATGCATAAACTCCGGGAGTTTTTTTGCCTGCTCTTTTCAACTGCAAGAAGAATCAAAATAGGCAACAAGATAGGCGATGTTAATTTTTATCCTCGCCACCGCATGGGTTCTAAAACTGAAGAAACTCAAGTCATGTCATGTTTACATACGGATCACATATGAATGAGGACAGGAATTAACGAAAAACCTGTATGCTTGGAATCTATCCATGCACCACAGCTTTAGTTCTGACTCAAAAAAGGATGTGGAGCTGAGAATCATGAACATGAAGCAGACGGACTTAGCAACCCAGAAATGGGAAAGATGTGCAAAGTGATGTCGATTTATAACTTTGAACTTCCCATGTTAACTTGATAGAGAAACCGGACTGTGACCAGCAACCTGGCTGTTCCCATTGTGTATGCAGACAGAGAGCATGCATGCAACCTGATGTTAAATGCCTTTCCCTCCCCTGTACCCTTAGTGGGTTTCCTGCTGCCCCCTGAACATTTCAAAGACTAGACTGCATACAACGCATTTCTGACTACTCGTAGACCAGCACGAGCACTGAAATCCCGCCCACGTTGTCCCCTCATCTCTAAGTCCATTGTTACACATACTGTCCCTCTGACTACACTCTCCCATTTTCTGTCAAACACAAGGTTCCCTCAAGAGTCCTAATGACTTCAATATTTTGAAAAAGCAAATGCTAATACCCTAAATCCATCTAAAACGCTGTGCTCAGTAGTTATTCACTTCCTATGCCCAGGGAATTACTCTATTTTAAGTGGGGGAAAAAATGGCTCAGTTTTGGAACCGTTCCAATGTTTCAGTCACTTTAAATGTCCAACAGAATTAGAAAAACAGGAAACTGCTACAGTGCTTGAAATAAACAGGCCAAATAATCAGAACAATTCTAAATCTAAAAGAGGGAGAAAAAAAAAAAAAAGACAAACTTAAAATCACTTCCCTGTTCTGACAGGCACCTCAGTGATGGCCGGCTTTGTCAGCCCACCTTCCACAGTAGTTACAGTTCAGAGGGGAAGACACACACACTCCCTCCCACGCGTCTTCCATCTTCATCGGGGAGCATATGTTTTGCCCTCCACCCGGGACTGGAAAAGCATGCCATGATTTCAATCTTCTGCTCCATATCCCATGCTCCCTCGGGACAAAACTGTACCACAAAGCAATGGCCCAGTTTGCACATTCTCTCCCTCATTTCTGGCCCAGCTGAAGACCAGGATGCAAAACTCCACAGTGATGTTCAAAGCCCTAAGCCTGCTACATAGTGTGGATAAAGTGTGGGTCTTCTCCAAGCCTGGAGAGCTCCTTACTTACACTGAAGAGGCAAACCATGAGTAAATCATCCTTCCCTCCTGCAGAACCCCATTGTTTTGATAATGCAGCTTGTATTTAGAAGCATAAAATGTTTGATTTACTAAACCCATTAACAGGACATCCTCTGAGGTCAATGCACCAATTTAATCCAACACCTGTCAATGAAATGCTAATTCTACCCAGATGGAAGATCTCAAGAAGATCCTTTTTGCTATCACTCGTGTTCTAAGCTTCCTGTGATTCAGGTGAATGAAACTGAAAGCTCCATCACAGACAAAGGGCTCCTGATCCAGAGAAGCTCGCTCCCTGCATCACACTCTTCATCTTTGCTGTTTTTTATAAAGTACTTGGGTCAAGAGGTACAGGCCCCAGTTTCCAACTCAAGTCACTCGGGCATATATATGCTCATCTTAAAAACCATGCAAATTTTGTTTTGTTCTTGGAAAGGCGGGAGAGGGGGAGAGAGAGAGAGAGAGAGAAAATGAGCTACAGCTTATCTACTGGTTTACTCTGCAAATGCCTGCAACATCCTTTGGCCAAGGCCTGGCCAGGCCAAAGGCAGGAGCCCAGAACCCAATCTAGTTCTCCAACCTGGGCTACAGGGACCAAACTGCCCGAGGCATAACTACTCCCTTCCAGGAAACTGAATTTAGCAGGGCAGGGACTTGAACCCAGACACTCATATGGGATATTGATAATAGCCGATGTTTGAGGGAAAGACTTACCAGCACTTAATCAATTTTGGAGAGAAAGATCTCACAATTAAAAACAGACTAACTACTATGAACACATATTTGTGGCTCAGAACACACCCACCCTAAAGCCAAACAAATCATAAACTGGCTGAGTCTGCGAGTTTTCTAGATGATTAAAAACAAGGGCGAGAAAAGAACTAAGAGGTTGCCTTGGATACTACAAAATACAAACCTAAGCCTAGAGTATAGTAACTACCATCGCCTAGTTTTGTGTCCACTCATTGGCTTATTCATTCCATCACCAATTTGTTCTTCAGTCTACCGTGATGGCATTACCCTGAGCAGGTACCTCTGCCCCGGCGCCTTGCGAGGAAGGCACAGAGTGTAGTAGTGCACAGGGATGTGCAGGCACACCAAGGGTCTCTGCTGACAGGCTTCCTACCATCACCTCTCCCTGTCTGACTCTCATCATCTGCTGTATGAAGGTGAGTCACCGGGTGACATGTGCTTCCCATTACATGACACTGAGAATAACACTTTGGGGGTAATGAAATGTAACTGACAGACTCAGAAGTTGATGAGGGGCTCTGCACATGCACCAGCACTTTGGACAGACAGCCCATTCCCTTCTCTTGGCTTTAATTTAAACCCATGTAACTAAAAGCCTTAATAGGACACCTATGTCAAGTTCTGGAAGTCAGCATTGCTTCAGCAGCTGATGATGGGTGTTTATCCTGTTGTATTCCCCAAAATGAAGCAATCACAAAAACAGGAATTATTGGGATGTGTAGGAGATTGCCCCCCCGCCCCCGGATCTCTGCCTGCTAGCTGGTATGCATGACCCAGAGCCTAACTGCCAGCCTTGAGTGTTGTCCATGTCCTATGACATGGTTGGAGGATCTAGAGACAGACACACCTTCTAGCCAACTACAGTGCCGTTAGTCTATAGAAGCTTGCTTGATCACACTGTCTCTTGTCATTCTTGCTGATGAAGAACACTGTCGCCTCACCCCCTTGGTGGTTTCGGGGGCCTGCTGGCAGGAAAACCCCCAAGAGGGAAACATGTTTGCTAATAAAAGACTAACCAGATGTGAAATAATGGCCCAAATGACAACTGCCCATTCCACAAATGTCCATGGGAGGTTTTCCTAACAAACTAATCCTTGTTCTCAGGCAACTGTCATACAGCAGAGCCAGAAATCCACTGGCAACAAGGGCAATATGATGTGAAATTTTTCTATCACTGTGATGGGAAGATAGGCAAAGAAACACCTAGTCCAAAGGCAGCTAGGACAAAGTCCCCAGAACAGTTTGGATGGATGCCTGCCCATTTATCAGACAGGTAAGCTGATTCAAGGCATTCCAGGCAGGCAAAACCAGCCAATACATTAGCACAGGGGCACAAAGCTCCCAATGCCCAGGCATTGTAATGCACTGAGAGAGAAGGCAGAAATAAATTGGGTACAAGCAGGTGTGCTAGGCAGGGACTTGGGGACCAGAAAAGAAAGATGTCTCAGAGGGCAAAAGAAGAAGCAGAGAAGCCTGCAGAGTGGCCCAGCAAAGGCCACTATGAGGTCAGGTGCCATGTGAACAGGCCCGGAAGAGAATGTATCCGCAGACTGAACAGGACTGCAGAGCCATGCTGATCAAGAGGTGGCCGGGATGAGCCATCGGTTTGCAGACAGGAAGTAAATGGCATACAGATAAGTAGGCAAGTGTAGGGGGCTAGTGGTCAGGGCAAGTTGATGGAAGGTGTGTAGAGGAAACCATTAGGGCATTGTCTAACATTCCACCTTTTAAAAATGATCTATTTATTCCCTTAAAGGTTATAGGGAGATAGAAATTGCACACAAGAAAGACATTCCATCTGCTGGTTCACTCCCAAGATGGCCATGACAGCCAGGGCTAGACCAGGCCAAAGCCAGGAGCTTCATCCAGATCTCCCACGTGGGTTCAGAATCCAAGTACTTGTACCATCCTATGCTGCTTTTCCCAGGAGCATTAGCAGGGAAAAGTGGATCAGAAGTGGAGCAGCCAGGACATGAGCTGGCAGCCAGATGGGATGCGAGTGTTGCAGGCTGCAACTTTATCCACTACTCTGCAACACTGGCCGCCATACTCTGCTCCTAACTCTCCAATAAACTATTCTATAGTCACCTGCGTCTCAAATCTAATCTCTTCAATGGTCAGCTATTTCCCACTGTTTGCAACACTGCCCCTAACATATGAGATCTCTCTCTCTCATACACACACACACACACGCTTTCCAATAGTAGCCATGTTGACAACAATGCCATGGTAACCTGCGCAATCTCACCAAGATACTTATAGGATCATGATTACTGTCAATAATTAGCTGACATAAAGCTTTCTTGTGTTTCCTGTATCATTTGTTTGAAATAACCAACAGGAATCATAACTGGGACACATATAATGTTTTTGTAAGACAACATGACATTTACTTACTATGAACCATTTCAGGCTCAGGCATAGCCTTTAGAGCTCTGAGATAAGCTAAGCCAACCCCGTGTGGAGAGGGGGCAGTCCAGCACTCCAACATTTAAAATTTTACATTTCTGTAGCCATAGGATTTACTACAATGACTTGCAGCATATGCAAAAGGGCCCTGTACTTTTTGTTCCATTTTAAAAGCAGATTAGAAAATAGAAGCAATATTTTTTGTTTGGGGTTTATAATATAATGTTTTAAAACTTTTCCTTAGGAAGAAAAATCCAAACCTGTTGTTGAATCTTATTTACATAGTTGACAAAACAGAACAACAAAAATTAAGAGCTAATTTTCATGAATTTAAAATATATTACTAACTACAAAGAACACTTAATTAAAATATCACTGCATTCAGAAGTCATGTAAGAAGGTAGCCCCCTCTCTGTCATATGGCTTTCAAAATAACCAAAGGCACATCTTAATATGTTAGCTCTGGAGATGTGTTTCAAACTGGCCTTAAAGACACACCATTTATGTGGGCACTTGGGGGAAGGTGGGTTAGTACGTGGTTTGGGGT